TGAAAAGCCCTGTGGTTCGATTTGTAACATTTCAGATTTATAACTTCCCATTATATATTTATTATATATATATATAAAGACTAGCTGTAACCCGCGGGCTTTGCACCATTTAACTTCTTAATTTTCAAGATTATCTCGTTCGCATGGCTCAATCACGTCCTGGTTGAAGTTTGTTCGCTACGCTCACTCACCTTTAGGTTGGAGCTCGTTCGCTACGCTCACTCACCTTTAGGTTGGAGCTCGTTCGCTGCGCTCACTTGCCTTCAGGTTAGCTCGTTCGCTACGCTAACTCGCCTCCAGGTTGAAGTTCGTTCGCTACGCTCACTCACCTTTTGGTTGCAAATTAGCTGTTGTCATAAATGTAAAAGAAATAATAGTGCTGCACCCTGTTGGTAATCCTTGTAACTTTAATGCTATTGAACATCATAGAAAAGAACCAACTTGTTTAATTGAAACAGCTGTTAAGATTCAATAATTCCATTTCTCATAAGGTTAACATGGGAAACTCCAGAGCCACTGGGGCGGAGCCCGAAAGGATTTTTGAAATAAGAATATGCCTATATGTTAATCGGGAATGTGAGCTATCATCATGCCAAATTTCAGCCCAATCCGACCAGTATTTTTCGAATTTACTTTTCCCATACACACATACACACATACAGCAACCACCTCTTTTTTATAATAGTACTAGCAGAGTACCCGTCCTTCGTACGGGGTTGGCATATAAGTATCAAATGCTTATAGCAGTTATGAGTGAGGACATGGTTTAAGAAATTTCGGTTCTTTTTGAAGTTTGTTCGCTACGCTCACTCACCTTTAGGTTGGAGCTCGTTCGCTGCGCTCACTTTCCTTCAGGTTAGCTCGTTCGCTACGCTCACTTGCCTTCAGGTTAGCTCGTTCGCTACGCTCACTCGCCTCCAGGTTGAAGTTCGTTCGCTACGCTCACTCACCTTTTGGTTGCAAATTAGCTGTTGTCATAAATGTAAAAGAAATAATGCTAGTGCTGCACCCTGTTGGTAATCCTTGTAACTTTAATGCTATTGAAAATCATAGAACAGAACCAACTTGTTTAATTGAAACAGCTGTTAAGATTCATTAATTCCATTTCTCATAAGGTTAACATGGGAACCTTTGCTCCAGAGCCACTGGGGCGGAGCCTGGAAGGATTTTTGGGATAAAAATATGCCTATATGTTAATCGGGAATATGAGCTATCATCATGCCGAATTTCAGCCCGATCCGACCAGTAGTTTTCGCGTTTACTTTTCCCATACACACAGACACCACCTCTTTTTTATAATAGTATAGAAGATAGATTAAACATTAATAAACTTAGTACCCAAGTAAAATTATTTATTAAAATATTTACTGACTATAGTTACGGCTCTAAGGCCATTTTCAAAGTAAACAAAAATCAAAATAAGATATGTAAATAAATAAATAACATATGATTTTATAAAACTTTTCTAACTTGTAACATAATTTTGTCTTCATTGATTAATTTATACAGGGTGAATAAAAAGTCAAGACCCCCCCCCTCTAATATTTTTCCAAGTAAATATACAGAGATATCCTTTTGGTGGTCGAGCAATCTTAGCAGAAAGTTTCATTTTATCATTTTGAAATTTTTGAGGGTCCCCCAAAAGGGGGGATTTGGGGGGCAACTCAAATATTTTAAATGTAAACCCCCTTCAAGTGACACCTCATTTTGAAGTGTTTACAAAAACTTAAAGAATGGTGAAAACTAGAGGCCGCTATCTCTTCTCTGTCCAAAATGGTAGCCCGTCAAATGTTGTGGAAAATCAATGGTAAAATTGTTAATATTGGCTGCCATTTTGGATAGAGAAGGGATAGCGAGCTCTGGTTTTCACCATTCTTTAAGTTTTTGTAAACACTTCAAAATGAGGTGTCACTTGATAGGGGTTTCTATTGAAACATTTTTAGTTGTCCCCCGAATCCCCCCTTTTGGGGGGACACTCAAAAATTTTTAATGTAAACCCCCTTCAAGTGACACCTCATTTTGAAGTGTTTACAAAAATTTAAAGAATGGTGAAAACCAGAGCTCGCTATCTCTTCTCTATCCAAAATGGCAGCCAATATTATCAATTTTACCATTGATTTTCCACAACATTTGACGGGCTATTATTTTGGATAGAGAAGAGATAACAACCTCTAGTTTTCACCATTCTTTAAGTTTTTGTAAACACTTCAAAATGAGGTGTCACTTGAAGGGGGTTTACATTTAAAATATTTGAGTTTCCCCCCAAATCCCCCCTTTTGGGGGGACACTCAAAAATTTCAAAATGATAAAATGAAACTTCCTGCTGAGATTGCTCGACCACCAAAAGGATATCTCTGTATATTTACTTGGAAAAATATTAGAGGGGGGGGTCTTGACTTTTTATTCACCCTGTATACTACTATATGATGTGTTGTAGTTATTTTCATTAATATTTTCTCAATTTTGCTATTGTTTCATATATTGGATTATTCAATTTTGGAATCATTGTATTTAAAATATTTGATTTGTTATTTTTGTAGTTCATATAAATATTAATTTCTTCTTTTACATTCAATTTTTCTCTGTCTTTTTCAATTTCTAATATTTTTAAGTTTTCTTCGAACTTAGTAAACTTATGTTTGGATTTTAGTAAATGATCTGCAAAATTTGATTTCATTGATGTTTTGTTCATCGATTTATATGCCTGTATATGTTCGTTGAATCTAACTTTAAAATTTCGATAGGTTTGTCCAATGTAGAAGTTGTTACAGTCAGAACATTTAATTTTGTAGATACCAGATGCATTGTATATGTTTGCTGTATTGTTTGTTATAGGATTGTTGGTTTTATTGTGTTTGTGTATGATTTTAAAAATGTTATTTTTTGTTCTGTAGCTTAATTTTACTGGGGTATGTTTGAATGTTTTCCTGATTGCTTTGTTAAAATTGTTGTTGTATGGGACGCACATGAATTTCTTTTCTTCTTTGTGTTTAGAATTGTTTTCTAAGTTTGATTTTAATTCATTTCTTTTCTTAATTTTCTTCTTGATCATATTATCAATCATTTTGCTTCTATATCCATTTTTTTCAGCTAGATATTTTATAGTGTCGACTTCTTTCTTGTAATTTTCTTTATTTAAAGGAACGTTGACTAATCTGTGTATTAATGAATGAAAAGTTGCAATTTTGTGTGTCCATGGATGATTCGAATTTTTTGGAATTATTATGTCTGTAGTTGTGGGTTTTCTGAATATGTTAAAAGAATGTTTGTTGTTTTGGATGGAAATTGTTAGATCTAGGAAATTGATTTTTTTTGTTGGGTTTCTTTGGTGAATTTAATTTTCTTATTAATATTGTTCAGATACGTTAATAATAGTTCAGATTCATTGTCATTGCCTTTAAATAAACATAAAATGTCATCTACATATCTGTACCAATAAACAATGTTGTTTATGAATGGATTTGTTTCATTAATAATTTTGGATTTTTCCATTTCTGTCATTAAGATTTCTGATAAAAGTCCTGAAAGGGGAGATCCCATTGGTAGACCATCTTCTTGAAGATAGAAAGACGAATCATAACTAATGTAATTTTGCTTAACATTTACCTCTGCAAGTTTGAAAATATCATATATTTCATTTATTTTCAATTTGTTGTGGTTTATTAGGTTTCTTTTCAATATAGATTATGTTTCTTTGGTTGGAATATTCGTATACATATTGTTTACATCGAAAGATAAGAGTAAAACATAGCATATATATATATATATATGTCCGTTAGCACGATAACTCGAACAAAAGTGATCCGATTTTGATGAAATTTGGTATAAACGTGCAAACATACATTTATTCAAACGAGTTCGCGAACCAGCATGATCGGATAATGGGAACGAAGATTTATGGGGTAAAAATGGGGTTTTCCCATTTTTGACCCTAAAATCATAACATTTTGGAATATATTTTACAACCATTTTGTAGAACTAAAAAAAGAAATAATTTAGTATATTGAAGCATTGTTGTATGCCTAATGGTTACGAAAAAAAAAAGGGAAATTTAAAATTCCCATGTTATTCTTATGGAGAAGATGAAAACGGTTTTAGTTTTCTTGTTTATTGATATGTTGACCAAATTTTGAAATTTTATTTATTTGATCCTATACTATTGACGTATGGTCAAAAAACACTGTTTACCTTCCCCGTAGCAGCAAACCTAAGCACTCGCTTATTTATGGAAATATTTTAGTAAATATGTAATCAGACAAGTTGAAATTCGCTTTGTCTGCAGGTTTGCTGCAGCGGGGGTATTTTATATTATCAGCAAGTTTTGTTGGTTTTGTTAGGTGATGACAGTTTAATTTTATAATTAATAATTGTAAATATTAGTCTTATAATAAAAATAAAATATATTTTCTTAATTCGACGTGAGGGGCTCTCGCGGCTCGCACAATGCCTCACTCCTTCGCAGAAGGGGTTTACATCGACTTCTGACCAGGCGCTTTAGACACTCTAGTCTCGTCGCGCAGTGTCAAATTTTGATGTTGACCCTACTCGGACAGTTGAAAACTCAGACAGTTGATATTTTGATATTTTTTTAAATAATTTAAAAACTCGTACAAATGAAAACTCGGACAGTTGATTTAACAAAATATTATTATTATTTAAACCATACTCGGACAGTTGAAAACTCGGACACTTGATATTTCGATATTTTTAAAAATAATTTAATAAACTCGGACAAATGAAAACTCGGGACAGTTGATTTATCTAATTATTATTAGTTATTTATCAAAACTCTGACAAATGAAAACTCAAACAACTGATTTTTCAAATATTTTGTAATTTTTAAAAAACTCGGACAGTTGAAAACTCGGACAAATGATGTGATCCCGTTAAGTTGTTATCCATCCATATTACATGACATAAAAAGTTAAAGTAATCTGTTTTATAGAAAAATTTTCCACTTTATTGTTCTGGTTTTTCTTATTTTTGACTTTTGTTTCCAGGTAAATCGGCTCAAGAAGGTACAAAGGACCAGTGTGAGGGTATGACCAAGAGACTAAACAACACGGGAGGAGCAATCACCATCTCATCTAGAGGGGAAGTGGGTGTATTCTTCACCTCGAAGAGAATGGCTTGGGCTTACCAACTGGGCGATGAGCTCCACTATGGAATAGAGCACGGCCAACATTTAGTAGATAAAGTTTGAGCTAAGCAAATTTAAAAAAATATTATATTTTTCAGTTTTAAGCTTGATGAAATTGTAATAAAGGATATATGTCTATTGTCTATTGTCTAATTTACTGACACATTTTCCAGTCTGATCGTCCCTGACCTCATAACAGAATTTCCAAATTCAAATTGCTCAGTAGAAAAAAATCAAATGAAAATAATAAAAAAATATACAACAGTATACATATTTCTTTTAAATATTTTCACATTCCTATAATACCAAAACTTTAATTCATAACTTTCACAAAAACTCATTAGAATTTTATATCAATGTGCCTCAAGTAAAGGATGTGGACCCCCTTGACTGCAGCCTCAAACAGGTACCCAGAATTATCAGATATACTATATATAAGTATATATAAGTATATATATATATATATATACATGGTTGCTGGTCATAACTGTTACAAAAATTTGTTGGTTTAGGTACAAAGTAAATGGAGTGTGATGATGCATATAGTCCGGCAGAATTGACCCAAACCTGGTTTTGTCCTATTAAGTTTTTTTTTTATTGTTAATATGTGATACAATGGGGTAAGTAGACCCTAAAACCACCGGGTACTTTTTTGGTACCCTTGGGCAACAGCCGCCATCTTGGAAAATGGCGGGAAACGTAAATTACAGTAAGCTTTCACTTAAACCAATGTAATTAAAAACCTATTTAAGCTAGAGCAATGCAAGTTATTTTAAAATGTTTTTGGTTAAATTCCCTACTCAAACATACCATATATTAAATATATATAATTTGTTTCAAGGTCAGTATTACTTTTCAAAGTTTATAATTTATAAAAACATAATGATATATTTCTTTTTATTTCAATTTTGCGCCTTAATTACTCAAAATATGACTATAATATATAATATTATAAAGATTGTAGAACTTTAAATTTGGCATTGATTACATCTATTGGATGCCTTGTTGAATCAAGGGTAACGCCAGAACAAAGCGTTAGAAAAAATTTTTTTTTTTTATTTTCAATAAAAATAAGGATATTTTATATGTTCAACTAGCTGTGTGCCCGTTCTACGCACGGGGATCTTATAGTAGTCAGTTGAAACCTTCTTATATTAAGATTAAGAACAGCAGTTAGTTTGCATATTTGCAGATATGCTGGCAAAACTATTATATATAAACCTTCGCAAATACAGTATCTGACAGTTCAAGCCAAAATAAATGCTTCGCAATTAAATGTCACCCGGATCGTTATGGTCCATATGTCCAATGATTAAACTAAAAAATGTTTTATAGATCCATGAAGCGTAGCCCTAAAGTAGGCCTATAATTGAAATTAACATTCCACATCGGTTAGCTTAAAGGTATTTAAAGTACTACCTCAACCTCACCATTTAACACTTTATTCCGGTTGACATTTTCAGTATCAAAGGTGCTCTTGTCCATTCCGTGAAACACTGAGAAATAAGGACATTAATGCGTTATCAACAGACATACACACAACAATCCAAAAAAGGCCACGAACTATTGATACATAAACAATATAAAGGCGTAAACAATTCATGATGGTTTGCCCAACAAATGTTTACTCAAATAGGTTATCATTTTCTTAGCATACCGGGTAAGCTAAGATTTGGAATCCAGACAGAAAAAGTAAAACTTATACAGAGTTAAGACATCACTTAAATTGAATACGGACGGCTCTAATAAATAAGGGGCAACACCAACGATAACTAATTTGTAAACTACAGTGATGTGTTGGTACCTACGTAAAAATGATTCTAGCAGCTACCAACGGTTCTAAGGAAAAGAACCAGTACCTACGTAAGAACCTACCTAAGAACTATAGTACATCCGACCAATTAAATACATTAATATCTAGTCCCGAGGATTTGATCTCTTGCTTTTGGATTTTCTCGTAAAAAGTTATAGCGTAAACTTATCGGTGTCAGTTTGAAAAAAAAAAAACAACCTTACCCAAGCAACTTTTTGTTATTTAATAGATTACGCATTCTCTAAACAATGATTAGTATATCTATTAACATTAGAAGGAAATGTGACGAAAATCACACAATGTTGGGGTTTTGGTCATTTGTAATTATATTTCTTAAGTAGGTAGGCCATGTATTCTATGGAAAAGTACCGGTATCAAGGATCGTCGTCAAAAAGGTTGTTATGAATAAATATGTAGGCTTACGTACCCAAGATATGAGCTATGGATGGGCCTATTGGCTGTATGGTCCAGCGATTGCATCACACGGTGAGTAGAAACAGAAAGTGACACATTGGAAAAGCGAGTTTAGCACTTCCTCTGTTAAACCTCTGTTACAATATCCCACTGCAGTTGTGATTTTTTACTTTACACTTTACACAACCGCCATTGAAGCGCCGTTAATAAGTGGAAACCATTTTTGTAAGCTATTGGCGACGATCATTTCAGTGTCCAGCCCTATACAACACTGATTCAAGGTCTTCTTTCTGGTTGTCAAAAATCAAGAAACATTTTATACTCAAAGAATTACTGGTTCCGATTTGGACGATGTCTAGTTATTTAATTTCATTTACGGTTACACTATTAGGCTATATTATTGCACTTGCGATTAATTAAATCCGTTATGTAAGAAAAACGTTTTTAATCTCACTTGGTTGGGATTTGCTTTCAAAACGTGATTCGAAATGGTTGCGGTATTTGTAAACAACATTTGTAAACATATCATTGACAGCTAGAAAAAATCTTGATCCGAACAGCTGTTCGTTATTTCATAGACGATTATGTGATAAAAATTGAACGAAAATTTGACAAAAGTCGCTCAAAACTGCATTTTTGAACGTCCGTAATTTTATTTACAAAGTAGTGAGGCTATATTTAAATCACTTAAGACACTCTCGCCAATCCAGTGAATACATTAAAATGACTTGGATCTTGATACGTACTCTGGTTTTCACGGAGAAGATTGCGTAAAATGCCATCTTGAGTGTTACAGACAAAGGGAAAGACAGACAGACAGACAGACAGACAGACAGAAATAGAGATAAGACATAAGACTCGTTTCTGCTTCTTTAATGTATAAAACGTAAAAATAACCTAAAAGTATATAATTTTGAGCAAAGTACAGACAAAACTCTAATTTTATTTATATAGATAAAATTTTAACATCTTACCTGAGACCATCCGGTACTTCTCTCTGGCTGTTTTTGGTATTAAAATGTTTGTAAAATTACCAAATTTAATTTGAACTATTTATATTTAAGGACTTTAAGGCCAATCTATTCATCTCCACTCCAAAGAAACAATATTTTTTCAACAAGAAAAGTTTAAATTTTGATCAACCCACTAAGTTATTATTATTAGATGTTGTATGTATTGCAATAAAAACACTCAGTAAACAACTGGCTTACATTTGACATATAGATCACAGAAATCGATCGAGTCGGAGGTGAATTACAAGACTTCAGCCAACAAAGATTTTAATGGTTGTATAATTTTCTTTGAAAAAAGATTGTTACCTCGAGTACTGATTATGGGATGTTATATTTTTTAACATTAAAATACTCAGCAAAATATTGGCTTTCATTTGAGGCATTGGTCATTCAAATCTTTTGAGTTTGAGGGGATTTATAGAACTTTAACCAACTAACATTTTAGTTTTTCCAAGATTTGTCTTTAATTAAATACATTATATCCGCTTATAATTATGTTATATGAAATGCTTATAATTATATACTAGAAATACTCAGTGAGTTTCTGGCTTTAATTTAAGCCATTGACTATTAAAATCGGTTAAGGTTGAACATGAGTTGTGGGCAGTGGCGGCGATAGCGCCGTAGGGCTCGCGGTGCGGGGGGGGCCCGCGAGCTAGGGGGCCCGTGAGCCTTGACCGGGATTTTCGGTAAATTTTACCGGCACACGGGCCCGTGATAGTGTGACAGGCTCAGCCACACGATTCCCCTATCATAACAATATTTATATGAGAATTAAAATAGGCTACTTTTTTTATGATGAAAATGTGTTCAAACCTATAGTTCAAGTAGTTAACAACAACTAAACTAACACTATTACTTGACCGATCGATATAAATTATCTACCAACCTAAGTAAAAGAATTGTCATCAGTCATGCGGGTTGCATTAACTGTCCTCGTGGATTGTGTGAAGGCGCAGTCAAATTTGGTTACATAATAATAGGGCCGTATTTATAACCAATGTGGCCTCTGTCATCGTCCATCGTCACCCGCGGGGAAATGTTCTCGTCGATATCCGCGATCGCGGCAAAAGCGTAGGCCTAATCTTTCAATTTCGTGAGCGTGATCCTCACGGTTATAAAAGCTTTTACTTTTAACTGTGCATTATTGTATTGAATACTGAGAAAATCGGCTGGAGCTTCTGACTTTGTGCTTGATCTCTCAAGCTTGTAGTCCAGGCTCTGCTCGGCTCGAAAATCGACATTATAGGCCTATTATAAAAATCAACCGTTTCCAAAGCAACCCGATCTTGAACGCACTAAAAATGTTACCACGGGCCTCAGGCCAAATCAGATCGGTTCAAAATCGGGTTGTTTTGGAAAAGATTAATTTTTATAATAGGTCTATAATGTCAATTTTCGAGCCGATTTTCTCAGTATTCAAAACTATAATGCACAATTAAAAGTAAAAGCTTTTATATCCGTGAGGATCACGTTCACGAAATTGAAAGATTAAGCCTACGCTTTTGCCGCGATCGCGGATAACAACGAGAACATTTCCCCGCGGGTGACGATGACGATGTCTCAGCGGCCGCAGATGTTCAATATTTTACCGCGATTGCGGAAGACGATAATGACGTTTCTTTTTTAGGTACGTTTCTTACCCAGGATCAATGCCCTAAAATATTGGTAGAGAGTTCCGGGACACCCTGTATGCTAAACTAGATAAAGCTTTAATCTCTGAACTATTAGAAGAATTTGCAATGACAAGACAGTGATGTTAGTATACCATGGTTATTTTTTATCAATTACTGTATGTCTTACAGTTTGTTGTGCTGGGCAAATTCACCTTCTAGCAAATATATCTTTAAACAACAAAAAAAAAGGCCATCAGAGTCATTGCTGGCATCAGCTCAAGAAAATC